TACACCTAAAGTTCACACTTCACCTTAATCCAAATTGACTTTCTCACAAGTTTCATCCCACTGTCACTCCTGCTTCTCCCACCTCCTCCAGCCAGCAGCCCCACTCCAGCACCCACCTGCAGAGCCGCAGGAGCAGAGGGCTGCAGCAGAGGGACAGATCCATCCCCAGCTTCAAAGACTTCTCTGCACCAGCCCTACAGCCCATGCCCTCACTGTGCTGAGCTCCAACCCCAGCCAGGCTTCTCTGGAGCAGCCTTAACACTGCAGGTACCATTCCCATTGCTGGCAGCGCAGCAGGGAACACTAGCAGTCAGCTTGATATGGCAAACTCATCACCAACTGGCTGGTGCATCAGTAGCAAAGCTAAAAGCAACCCTCAAGAGCTGAGACATTTGTCAGCAGCTCTCCCCTCTGATGTCACAGGTGCCCATCCCTGCTGAAGGGCAAGGAGGTACTGGGTGCCACCCTTCCACATCAGAGGACCCAGCAGGTGGGGAAGACCCAGGAGTGCCAACAACCTTCTTACTGTTTAACCAACAAACAGCCTGTTGCCCTCAGCAGAGCCCCCCCAGAAAGCCCAGCCACCTGTGACAGGGCCTCGCTCATTTCAGGGGGCCATGGGCTGTGTACATCAGCAGCACTGATAGGAGTTTGCTGTAGACAAGTGAATCAGTGGAACGGATGAGCAGCTCCTGAAGCATCTACCCACAATACAGAAAGAAGAGATGTAATTTCAGGCTTATGGCAGATGTTGGAGGGTTTGTGGTGCTAAAAAAAAAAAATAAAAAAAAATCTTAACACCTACATATAATAGATAGCTTTCTAAGACAAGGAAATCTTGCAGTAGCTGGAAGAAAACCAATCACAGTTCCCAACTACATCTGAGGTAAGGAAACAGAACACCGTACAAAACATCTCCTAAAGGTCAGTTTCACAAAACTAGAAAGAACCAGACACAAAAATAACTGAGAGAAAACCCCTAAATATAAGTAAGTGTGACAACGCTTATTGAAGGATGTTTAAAGATGCCTTAGTAGAGCTCTCTTTCCTACCAAGAAAAGCAACAGTACATTTAAAAAAAAAATTACTTGGTTTACAGTAGGAATTTTTTAAGAGCCAAATTTAAAAAAAAAAAAAAAGGTGAAAAAAATCTGAAATACACTATAATATTAGAGCAAATTCTATAGAATTCAACACATTTTATAAAGAAAGCTAAAAGATATCTAAAAAACCTAGAAGCAATAGGTCTATCAGGAAAAAAGCACAATCTATCAATACATTAGACATGATGCTAAAAAAGTACAGTGAAAGTATGATGATATAAAGGATGCAGAAAGTATAACCATTTCTTTTTATCTTTGCAAATAAGGACGACTTAAATCTCAGCTATAGCAAAATTCTCTGAGAATTGAGTTGGGAAGATCCCCAACACCATCTGCTAACCATCCTTCACATCTGTAATGAGAAAACCTGGACTCAGAGCCTATCAAGGAGATCACCCAAATTCCTAACATTGACTTTGAAAAAAAACAAACCAGAAGCATATCCCAGGCCAGCCAGGAAGTTCCAGAGGTCTTGGAATAATAAATAAAAAACCCTGCTCAAGCAAACAAAAACTTAGCACAGTGCCAATATTTCTAGAGGGCAAACAGCTGACCCAGGAAGTGCAGGCTGGTCACCCTGCCCATGCTCCCAACAGGCTAGAAAGTGGCCCATGCTCAGTGATGGAAATACAACTCCTGTTAGTCAACACAGTTTTCTGGCTGGAGGGCTTGTCAAACAGATCTAGTATTTCTTCTCAGAGTTTGCATTTGGCTGACAAAGGTAACAGTATTGACGTAATACATACAGACTTCTGTATGACACCCGACTTAGGCTGGGGTGACAGCTCAAGAACAAAATCCCTCCCACTATGCAAACAGTCGTGTATACTGTATATCCAAGAGGATTAAAAGTCAGTTGAGCCCAATGACCTCATTTGAGTTGTACCTGCACTGCCTGCCCCTAGAGAGGTTTTGGATCCCCAGAGATGAGGTTCCCAAGAGTGAAAAGGCCAGTGAGGCAGCAGAAATTTTTCTCTGCACACAAAGCTCCAGGCAGTACTTCTGGGAGACATGGGTTTCCAGGGAATGCATGGCTGTGAGCCTGAGCTTGCAGTGAGTTCAAAAGCGCTAGAAAAGGGTATTGCCAGAGCCTCTGCCTAGGGAGCGGGCAAACTCATTGAAAAATATTGTCTGGTTTTAGAGCCGATTTTCACAGTTGTAAAGCTGGCCAGAACCAGAAAGTAAAGCTGTAAACTCAGCCGTGCCAGCAGCCTTTGGCTGGTCCTGATGCCGCACATGCCACATTATACACAGCTCACTATCATTATTTCTTACTTGGTTCCTAATCTGTGCTCAGCACTCTGAGTGCCTTCCAGTAACGGCACTGGACACATCAACTTACATTATACCTTCAGAGATGGAAAGATAAGTAGTGTGACTTCTCTTGAAAGAGCAAGCTCTTCCCAACTCTCCCAGTGCCCAGCACAAAAGCATAAAGGCTGGTCAGGTTTGTCAAAGTTTTCAGCTGCCAAAAAATTTCAACCCTTCCATAAAAACATATAGACATCCTTCCTGTGAGAGGAGCAGGGTTATTCCTCACACCCTTAACCCTCAATCATGTCATTGCCCTGCACTGTGAATATATAGACCAAAGCCTGGAGCTTTTTTTTAACCTCTCTGACGAAACAAATATTTCCAAGTGTCCAGGTAGCTGGATGCAGGAAAGCCTAACACCAGAAGTTGTCCATCATGACTGACTGAACAGTAAGCTGTGGATGTGAACTGTCTACCACAAAAGATCCCTGGGGCTTTCAGTGAATCCCATCTTCCTCTGCTCACAGGCACCACTCACCTCCTCTTTGCTCAGTTCCAGGCAAATGTTGATGTGAGATGCTGCCCAACAGTCATACTCTTGTAGCTATGTGCTGTTGTAGCTGTGCTGAAGTGACAAGTTCTTCAGAAATGTCCAGGGGAATGGACCAAAAGCCCCATCCTCACAAGAGCGATCACCCACTGCAGCTACTGAAGCAGTGCCAGTTATATATCCCAGCCTGAATCCAGCTTGTCCTGACATTACAGTTTTAGCTCCAGCTGCATGACCTTGTGCGAGCTTGCTCCAGAAACGGAGGACTTGGTCCTTCCAGGATTTGGCAAGATCTGACACAGGTGCCCTTTTCATTCATTGAACTGGCTTAGGATATATTTGCACATGAGCAGATAAACTTTGTCCAAAGGACTTCAGTCTGGCTGCTGGGTTCCAGATGAGCCCCTCTCATTCATGTGGCTGCTCACATGTCAGAAGAAGAATGAACTGAGCTAGATCCCTGACATTTTGTGCTGAGTCCAGGGAGGCTGACTTCCCAAAACAGAGAGATGCAATATTGTCTGAATACCCTAAGCACATACGATCTTTTTAGCAACACAAGATGCTAACACATTGAGGCAATGCAAACCTCAATGCAAGTTTGACATTTTACTGGATCTGACCACCACCAGTGCCTGACCACCTCACCCTCTTGCTGCTGAACCCCTCCGTGATTTATCACAGGCATTCCCAGTTTAGGCTGTGACAGAAGGCAGAACAATGCTAGGTGAACAAAATGGGTCTTGGGACTTACCACCTTACCACTTCTTCAAAGTCTGTCATGCTGAATTCCCCACTAGTCACACTCAAGTTCTGTGCACAACAAAAGCCATGTTCCCTCAAATCAGGAAGGTTAGCACTGTTTGCACTTGTGTTGACTTTATTCGTACACTGTGACAGCTTGTACAAAGAGCAGATAACAGGATACTGACAAGGACTAAGATCTGGAAAACATCTCTGTGATCACTTCAACAAAAAGCTGTTCTTCACTTTCATGGGAGCTTTAACTCAACTCACAGTGTCTTAAAACATGAAATGCATTCGAGTGATCAATGATTTGAAAGGTAATAAAAGCAGTTAATAGCTTCTAATCTGCTTGCAGCCAGATAACATAAACAGCTAGTTATCCTGTGGAGAAGGGCAGGGCTTCTTTTTCTTCCCCAGAACCACTGATTGCGAGCTTGCAGCACCCACATTTTAAAGCAAAGCTGAAGAGAAGAGCAAATACCTCTTGCAACTATACTTCAGGCTCTCATAAACGCAGTACAGCTTGTCTGAGTACTATGGCTGCTATGCGCAGTGTTTTAAGTACCAGTTAAAAAGCAACTCACTATTTGAGGTCACTGTGTTCAGTGCCTGCCCAAGCCAATGGCCATTTCCGTGCTTTCTATCATTAATAAATCAATCAAATGTTAGAGGCACTGGAGTGAAATTGTCCTGTCAGCCTTATCCATTAGGTACTTTTACTAAACCCTGTTGAGTTACTGCTTATTTACAGAAGACTCAGAGAGACATCAGCATCTCAAAAAACTTGCACATCATAAACACTACAGATATTTCATTAAAGCCATTTTACAAGCTATAAAACTGAGGGTCATTTTATGCCTCTCTCTATAAAAGCAGACTGTGATATAGTCCTCTGAAAAGCATACTCTATGGTACAATTTTAGCAGTACTACACAGACTACTTGAAACTTCTTACAGAGCAACTTATATCCAGTATAAGTTCTCTATTAATACTGATATCCAGGACTATTCTTTGCTAAAATAACAAGACTTTGAAGGAAAGAAATTTACACACTCAAATAATACAGCCTTCTTAAAAATACTGAATAATATCAGTTTAACAATTTTCCTAGATTAATTAATAATGGACGTCAATACATAAGGTTACAAAGCAGACTTCCAAATTACCCGTTAGAAAACCATGTAAATTCTTCACTCTGCTTTCAGCATAGCAGATTTATAATAAAAATACTAAAACACTGAAACGCTGGAACACAAAAGGAAGTTTACAGTGTTGTAATGGACTAGTCTTAAAAACCCGAACACTCTTGCTCAGCACCTGACGCGGCACTCGGAGTCGTCCTCACCTGCGCCTCTGCCCCGCTCCTCCCAGCGCGGGTCGGCTGAAGGGACGTGGGTATTACCTGAGCTGGCTCCTCCGTTTGCAGCTGCCTCTGGGGGACAAAAGTTTTGAAAAGTCGGAGGACAGCAGCAGCATAGAGACGGGACGGGCAGAGAGTGAGCCGGGAACCCGGCGGCAGCCCGGTCACCGGAGAGGGCGGGCACTACTTCAGCTCACCGGCAGCTCGGAGCCCTCGGCCGGGGCACATCGGACCCGGGGCTCCCCAGCGGAGGTGACCTCACCACCGCGGTGCGGGACTGCGGTTCTGCTCTCGCCACCCCCGCGGGCTCCTGCCCCGCCAGCAGCGGTGCTATGAGGGGCCGGGGCGGCGAGCCCGGGGCGCGGTGCGGGGTCG